CAGGGCACACAGACACGCACACGGACACTAGGGCCAGTTTTCCCAGAAGCCAATCGACCTACCAGTATGTTTTTGGACTGTGGGAGGAAACCCACGCGAACATGGGGAAAACATACAAACAGACGGCAGTGCTAACCCCCGTGTCACGGTACCACCCACCTCATTTAGTAGGAGTAATATACTACAGGTGCCAGGGACAGATCATGCAGAAGAAAATGGACTTTGTGAAAAGACATCTCCTTGGGAAGACCTTATCTGTGATACGGTAATGCTCTCTTACTTTACGTTGAAGTCCTGAAAAAGGACTTTGCTCAGTGTCAGCACTCTGCTTATTGTGTGCATCCCATTAAAGCACCGTGCTGTGTCATCACATTTGTATTTAGTGATTTCTCCAAAAACCTAGCTATGTGTAGAAATCACAATTTAACACTTTATTTTCTGCCTTCATTAAACTTGTTAGATCACAATTTAGGAAAAACAAGCCACCAAATCTAAAAACTGCGATTAGAAATTCCTAATCCTAAAACCTAATCCTAACTCTCTGACAAAAAAACAGGACAGTTATGGTCCAGCATGTGTCCATTTCAGTGAAAGTCTCTGCATTGAATATTTTATGCTCTGAATTGCTCAATTTTGTGGAGTAGTCCATTTTGTGGCATTTTGTTTTGTTGTGTTACAGTGGAGCTGACTTCAGTAATATTTTTTGCTCATGATTTTGCCAGTCCCCTTGTATTGCAAATTAAAAACACTTTTTCATAGCTCCACTAGGGTGGAGGAGGAGTGGGTAGGGCTCTGCACTCAGACCTTAATGGCTCTGGGTTTGAATCCCTGGTTAGACATGTTTTATACCCTCGAGCTAGGACTTTCACTGAGCTTGCTGGAGTAACAGCTGTGTAGACTGGTATACTACACTAATCAAGAGGAGGAGACACTGAAGAGTTTGAGCCCTCTTCTGATGTCCAGTACTTGTCCTGGAGGACCTGTGTGGGTTAAGGTCACTAAGGTTAATTTAATTGTGTGTTAATAGGTTCTCATACGCTGTATTAATCGATTAGATTATCGTTGAAGAGTGATATTTGATGTTGGGTGAGTTTAGAGCAAGCTTTTGTTTGTATGTACAGACGTTTTGTGAGAAGAAGATGTTCCTGCACTGTAAATTGTAAAAAAATTGTAAAATTTCCACCAAGATTTTTCCATGTGTTCAGGCCTCATGAGCCACCAGCTGAGAGGCAGGCCTGTGACAATGAGCTACAACCCTGGATAGCAGCTTGTTTGGACCAGTTAAATAGATTCTCCCATTTCTTCAGTTCTTCTACTGCTCCCTCCATCCAGGACCAGGACTGCACATGCCTGCCCTTAATAATATGTGACATTTTCCAGCATCCCTAATTCATGTTTTGATGTCATTTTCAGGACAAGATGGATGGCTTTGTACCTGCACATTTCATTGGCTGGTATATAAAAGTAAGTGCTGCATGTGAACTGCACACTGCCGGGAGAAAGTGTTCAGAAACTGAATCTTGGAGGCAGTTTTTTCAAAATCGTTTTGTTATTCATACGCGTTTTATTGTTTTAAAATGGTGCTCCATAATGCATCAGAGCAGTGTTAAAATGAGAAGCACTTGTACTGACCTAAGCTCAACACATTACACTAAGCACAAGTCGGAACAGACACCACCATGTTTGGTAGCAGCCTGCCCTTGTATACACCTGGCCTGAAGCTGATGCTAAGGCAGATTGGTCCATGCCCACTCAGCTTGGCACTTGTTAAAATCATGTTGCGGCTGTGGCCAGCGAGGGTCTGCAGACGGGCCCCCCGGCTGGCGCTCTGGATGTGCTGGCGGTTCTGCAGTGCCAGACAGGAGAGCTATCGCGGACGTGAGGAGCAGCACTGTCCCTCTCTCACCTCAACAGGTGGCAGGGTTACTGAGTCGTGCACGTAGTTTCCCTGCGAGCCGAGAGCTCTCTAACCAGCTCGTTCCCACACCATTCTTCGGGCACTTGGCCACCTCTGCTTAGGGAATCTTGTACCAGGCTTGGGCTGGTGATGCATACACTGTGAGCGAGCACTTTAATGGGACAAGATGCTCTGAAGAAAGCCGCTGTGTATGGACATTAGCAGTGTGGAGGAAACCAGTAAATTTTTTTTTTTGTTTTTGAAGGACTGGGGGATTTATAAATAGCAGGGGCTGTGCGTATGTGACAAAGCGGAAAAAGTCCAATGCTTTTACCTGCAGTATGTGGTGTGTCCTGAGCTGGATCTATGTTTCCATGCCAGACCTTGATGATCCGGGACTGGTGGATGTGCATGATCATCAGTGTGATGTTCGAGTTCCTGGAGTACAGCCTGGAGCACCAGCTGCCCAACTTCAGCGAGTGCTGGTGGGACCATGTATGTATCTTGAACGTGCAGCACCACAGCCTCACAGTGCACCTTAACCTTTTTATCAAGGCAGTCAAACTCTGGAGAGTCGCTGTGTGGCATGCCTTGTTCCAAGGAAGTACAATGCTGTTTGATGCTGTATAGTATCCTTGTAGTAGTTATCATTAGAGTTTCTAATTGCATTTTAATTTAGAACTATTTTTAAATGGGACAGGTCTCTCTTAATCAAGCTCTTATTTTATTGCACAGTTTGAAGATATTAGAAGGTGCCGCTCTGCACTTTAAACTTAAACAGGGATGCCTTCTGTGTCGTACTCTGGATTGTTTTGTCGCTAGTTTTTCTTTAGCCTACAAGGCAACTAGTGTGCCTGTGCTCTTACTGGGGGCTAAGGTGGTAACATTTTTAACTGATCTCATTCTGCCCTTTTTGCAGTGGATTATGGATGTAGTTGTCTGCAATGGTCTTGGAATATACTGTGGCATGAAGACCCTGGAGTGGCTGTCCATGAAGACCTACCAGTGGCAGGGTCTGTGGAACATTCCAACATACAAGTAAGTGTGTTCAGGGCTGCTGGCCTCTGCATACAGAGAGTTCACACACAACCCCCTAGATAACATCTCAAATGGAATTCATCATTGCCTAACCGGTTTGCTTGACTATCTGGAAGAGGTTTACCGTTTTTCTAACAAGATTATTCTGACAATTTTAGTGTTTGACCCTTATTTTTTAAAACTTTTTAAAACATTATACCTTGAGTTGATATCTATCAACATGATTGAAAACGATCTTGAAGGATTAGTGAGCACTACAGCCTAAAACTTCCAACGTTACACTAATCACTCAGTTTGCTTATTACTATCAAGATCCTATGTTCGCTTTATCGCATTCATTCTGGGATTAAGCAGTTTATATGATAACAACTATGTTTAATTAACATAAAAATGTCAGATAGAGTCTATTCATTAACCCGCCACACCCCTGGTGTCTTCATAATTATATAATCATTTTTAGCAAAATTAAGAGCAAGTTCTACCACCTTTATCCAGTTCATGGTCACGGGGAAGCTGGAACCTATAATGGGAAGCAATGTCCCAAGGCAGGATACACCCTGGATGGGACGCACAGACATGCACTCACACCAGGCCAGTTTCATTCAGGAGCCAAATAACCTATCAGCATATCTCTGGACAGGGGAGGAAACCGGAGCACCCGGAGGAAACCCAAGTGAACATTCAAGATTCAAGATTTCTTTTTTTGCCATATACAACAAGTGTATTAGAATGCTTACTCATTCAGCTGTACCCAGTAACATTAGAGAGAGAGAAAAAGAATGGGGAAAGTATACTGTATGAGATAGCACCCCGCGTGTGGAATTGACTGTCGCCCCTTTGATAAAGTCATTAAACACTGTTGTCGTGACTTTCTATTAGGATGGATTGGCGCATGTTGTGGGTTCAATTGTTCTTCTTTCAGTAGAGTTTACAGTGCTTGAAATCCTCCGCACCAGCAGTGAAGTGCCAGCCTCTTAGTTTATGCCCACATGACTGTAGCTGGAGTGCAGAGCGCCACTCTTTCTGGTCCCGAATACTGTTCCACCTCCTGGCCTCTGCTGCCTGCCGTCGTGTATCCCACAGGCGCTTTGGAAAACACTTTCTTCTTTCCGCAGGGGCAAAATCAAGAGGATTGCTTTCCAGTTCACCCCTTACAGCTGGGTGAAGTTCGAATGGAAGCCGGCGTCCAACTTGCGAAGATGGCTGGCAGTCTGTGGGATCATTTTCGTGGTGAGTTTCCTGCCCCTTCCATACGGGTTCAAACCCTTCCGTGGTCACTTGAAGTTCATGAGTTACTGGTCATTTCAGGTACGTTTTTTGGAAATGAGGATTCCAAAAAACCTCACTTTGTGAAAAACTCACTTTGTGAAACCACCACTTTGTGGTGTATTTGTAGCATTATTTGATGGATAAGCTTAGCCATCATTGTCCTTGAGATGAGCCCTGATATGTTTTAAGTACTTATTGGGTTGTTTAAAGTGCATTGTACAAACCACCACTATGAATGTCTGCATAGACATCCATGATAATACTATGAAAACACACCTTGGATTTTCAGAGGATTATATGCCCTTTTCACAGTCTACAAGACCCTTCTGTCTGAATTGAAACTCTCTTGACGAATAAGGAACTCCTCATGGTCAATGGAGATGCTTTTGTTATCCTGTCCCACCCCACCTGCCTGTTCCCCTCTGTCCCCTGTGCAGTTCCTGCTGGCGGAGCTCAACACCTTCTACCTGAAGTTTGTCCTTTGGATGCCCCCGGAACACTACCTGGTGCTGCTGCGCCTGGTCTTCTTTGTGAATGTGGGCGGCGTGGCCATGAGGGAGATCTACGACTTCATGGACGACCCGTGAGTCTCGGCACAGAGGCCTGCTCTTTCCTCCTTTGAATGAGGGATGAGGGATGGGGTGACTGAAGAAAAGGTGCAAGGGCCAGAGGTGACGTGAAGCAGGGGGGCACAACTGCAGCCCTGGGCGGTTTCACCCTTCCTCTGTTTTTGACGATCTCCCTGAGTTTAACACTCCTCATGGGTCTCCGGCTCTTGGAGAGGTCAAGAGACCCAGAAAGCCAGCTGGGTTCTGAATCTGTCCCCTCAGGACCTGAGGTTTGCACCTGTGAAGTGAAGGAACTTGGAATTGGAACTTGGATTTCCTTAAATCCAAGGAAAGTGTGAAAGGCAGCAATCTGGGAATCCGTGGGATGAGTTGATCACTGAGTGTTCAAAAGGGAGCATGTGAACCCAGTCAAATCGTGGTTCTGGCCTCTGTCATTCACAGAGTTGCTTTATGAACGTGATTTGACAGTTGTCTGTTGTTCTAATGGCAGTGCGTGTCTTTGTCTCCACTTGCCCCAGAGAGGGCTACTTGACTGCCCTACTTGACCTCACCTCTCTCTGCTGCAGGAAATTCTACAAAAAGCTGGGGCAGCAGGCCTGGATGGTGGCCGCCATCACAGTGACCGAGTTTCTGATAGTGGTGAAATACGACCCCCACACCATCACTCTGCCCATTCCTTTCTTTGTTACCCAGTGCTGGATTCTGGGAATCATCCTGATTCTGACCTGGACCCTCTGGAGGTTCTTTATCCGGTAAGTGAAGCTGAAAGCTGAAAGTTCTTGAGCGCAGAAAAGTGCTGCTTTTGCTGCCCTCATACTGTCTAACTAGTTCTTCCAAGCTGAGTCTTGAACAATGGCAGACTTCTTTTTTTGTCACATCACCAGGTGCAAATTAATAATGTTTTTAACCTTTTAAGGTGCCAGGAGAAACTTCTGTGGAATTATGTGTCTGAACTTTGCAATGGCCCAATGCCCAATTGTTTTTGCGATAATTCCTAAAATTCTCAACGTGAAAATTGGAATTGGGAAGGAATTATTTTTGCAGGTTTGAAATGATTTCTGGTCTGTTTTGGTCTTGCTGAGGACTGGTGCCTCATCACATATTAGAGATGGAACAAGCCACCTGCTGCAGTTAACCCTGGGGCAGGGGTAGTGGTTCAGGCTATAGTCCACATTCATGTTTGTTAACAAGCAATATTCCAGAATAGAAGTTATCATATTTATCACTTTATTATTATGTTTGATTTTTATATTTAGAAATGGCACTGCATCCTCTCTAAGGTGCTGCTGACAAATCCAAGTTTGCTGTAATAATGAATCATTCAGAACTTCACTGCAGGACAGTACTTCACAAACCTGTTAGTCCAGTCAGATCCTTTCCATTAATGAGAAATTTAACACATGGAGTTAACAGTTTCACGACTTATTCAACAATTCAATACTTTTGCATATAAAAGTGTGAAAAAGCACTTGGACAACATGTATCTCTAGTATTCCAATGCTCTTGTACACATTGCAACACCTGTTGGGCTCTGCATGGATCAGCGGCAGACATCTCAGATCTCAGAGGGGTCATGAAGCACTGTGAGTGCACTGGAAGGCTGTCTGTCCTGACGAGAGAAGGGCTGCTTCAGGGTTGTTCACGAAGAATGTGTGGTTCTGAGAAGGAAAGGACAGTTAACAAAATAAACCTGGGCAGAAAAGTATGCGCTGATTTAATTAACTGTCACTCAGACACCTGGTAGGAGTGAACCACATGAGAGTGCGCAAGCTTTCAAGGCCGGTTGAGGGAGTTGTCAACACAATCTCGGTGACATGACCATTCAAGCCATTCTAGCTTTTTTTTAAAAAATAATTTTAAGAGCATATTTTGCACAATAAATTCAGGCATTCTAATGATTTAAGGACTCAAACCCTCAGTTATTGTGGATTAGGTAGTTCAGGATGTACAGACAAATGGCAGATGCACCGGCTTTGCGCTTGACCGAGAGCTAGCATTTAAATACCAGATTTCTATTGCTAGTTAACATATTGTACATGTCCTCCCATCAAGGCAGTGTTCTTCTCACACACCGACAGCCGAAGCAAAGACATAGTGTTTCCACAGATGTGCTGTCTTCATCAGAGGTAACACTGAAAACAGTAAAGTTTTTTAAATGCCTCGTTTGAACTTAAAGGAATCTCTTGAGAGCTGTGTGTACTTCCTAGCATACAAATCATTACACAGGGAATTCTGAGTCTTCATAAAACAGGACAGTTTTGTATTTATTTGTTCAATGCTGAAAGAATGTTGTTCAGCAGTGAACAGTCACTGTCTTTATTACAGTTGCAAACAGACATATTGGCACACCACAGCCTAAATGTCTAAATTCAACCATCATGAGCAGTGATTTTACAAACAAGACGTACTGCTCTTAAATCACAGACCATGCTTTTGATAAAGAGTGCCGACCCCTCCTTGCAGTTGTTTCCGAAGTAGCATGCCTGTTGTTGTGGTGAGGTGCTGTTTTGTGCTGCGTGATCCTTTCGGCTGCGAGTGCTGTAGAGATGGTGTTCCTGTGTTGCCATGCATGCTAAAGCTCGTGTTCTTTCCCTCCCTCGTCTTCAGCAGCAGGGCTCGTGTGCAGTGAGGTAGGTTCCTCAAGCTTGACAGTGTTTCTTGTCCGTCCCACTCCTGCTTTCCTGGCTGAGTGAGCATGACCTTCCCTCCTCCTGCGTGTGCTGTGCGTGTGTGTCGGTTTTTGTACTTCAGCCAGTCCTGGTTCCTTCCTCCAGGGTTTGTCCTGAAGCGTCGGGCCTCTGCTGGTCAGCACCTTGTTTCAGGTTTTTGACTGGTTTGGTTTGACAACTTGAAAAAAATTTAAAATATTGGTGAATGAATTATTTCAAGTATTTAAAGTATTGTGTTTTCACAATGCTTTTGTGTTATTTTTGTTTAAAAAGTTACAGAAATACACATTGTATGAATATAATTTCTATTTATATTGACATTTAGAATCTAATATTTTCATGTGTTCAGTGTTGGCTGGGGAAGGTATTCCAGAAAGTAAAAAGTAATCCATAATGGTTCCAGGTTACTTGTGTAAGGGATGACATTTTATTTAACAAGACCTTGAGGGAAATATTTTAAAAATATAATCAGTTACCATGATCTGTGAGTGTGTGCATAGTTACTATGTAACTATGTGAGGGAAAAAATAATCCCTCACACAGTTATTTTTTAAGATAACTTTTGTTCCTTGTTATGCTTTTTGGAAGGTTATCTTACTAATCAAAGCTGAATTCTGATGCAACTTTGATTTTTTGTGTGTAAATTTAACAGTAACACACAGGTTAAGTGCATCACCATTCTTGGAGAGGAAACTGCTGTTATAGATAGATAATACTTTATTAATCCCGTAGGGAAACTGATGTCAGGTTACTGAAGAGGGTACTGTTTCAAGTAAACACATCAAGCTCTTTTAACAGAACTAGTGAACGTATTTAAGATTTCGTTTGTACAATGAAAAGGCTTGTGTTTTGTTTGCTCGGAGCACATCTTGAGTTGTCCCAGATGTTGTGAGTGTAGAGATAAGTTAGCCTCTCAGGTGATGTTTCTTCCTGTCAGTGGCCAGTGCTCCTGTTGCCTCGGAGCTGCACTGTGCAACAGATTACCAGCCCTGTGGGTGGATGAGTGTGAGCCTTCCTGCACTCAGTCACTCACACTGGCGATTCTAAACTTAAATGGCTTCTAACTGTCCTGGTAACAGGGGAGAGGACTACATTGTTGGTCACCCAGGACATTCAGGATCTGTAGGAGGAGAGAATCCTGCCCGATGGCCTGGTAGGCTGGTGCAAAGTCCTGCCAAGTCAAGAGGGGTCACTGTTGAGTGGCCAGACAGGGATATCACAGCTGACCAAACACCCAGCCCTGGCAGTGCTCAGCCAGTTGTGTGCTACCTCTTGGGAAGCTCTGGTTATGGCTGGCGAATGGCTCAGGCTCAGACCAGCAATTTCTGGATTAAAGGCTAAGCATGCCTACAGTACTTCTACAGGTGGAGCTTCCCAGAAATCTAGGAACTTTTTTTTTCTCTGAAACATGACTGTGAGCTAGCTCCAGGAAGAAAAACCCACAATTGTATTCACTTGCCAGAGCCACAGAGGAGGCTCCTGCAAGAGTTCGTGGGCCTTGTTCTTTGGGAGGATTCAGTAAGTGCGCTCGCTCTCTTGTGTGCTTCTTCTGTAATCACTCCTCACACCTAGAAGATACTCCCCTCGTCGTCATTCAGTGTACTGTCCAGTATGTTCCAGAACCTGACCTTCCAGGGCTGAAATGACATTTAAGCCCAGAACTCCTTAGGTGCGGATAGCTGAATCCATCGTGTTGGTGTTCACTCTTCATCAGCCCGGAATGGGACAATCGCACAATTAACTGTAGAGTAATTATTTCAGCATTCGGGAGCCAATGCTAGCAAGAGATGGCACAGGCATGCAAGAGAGACTTGTTCCTGTTTAAAATGTGGAGCGAATTTTGCACTGAAGCGCAGCATTGGCCTTTTTGGTGATAAAACCGGTCGGCCGGCTCACGGCTGCGTCCTGCCTTTCAGAGACATCACCCTGCGCTACAAGGAGACTCGGCGGAGGCAGCAGGAGGGCGTGGGCGAGCGTGACAAGACCCAGAGCAACGGCAGTGCCAGCGCGGCCGGGCGGGGCAAGCTCAATGGTGGGGAGACTGCTCGGCACAGGAAGTCCTGAGCACTCCTGCAGGGCACTGTGGGTGGCTGGGGGAGCCACTGCAGAAGCTTCATGCCCTACATGTTTTGCACACTGGGAAATTTGTATGGATGCAAAGAGTTAAACTGCAAGATAACTGCAAGAGTTAGTCATTCCACTGGTTGTCACTGATAATGCTATTCCAGGAAACTCTTACCCATGAGAGGATCTAAATCCTTTCCAAATATGGGGGGAAATTGTTTTATAAAGATCACCTTGATTGAGTTATTTCTTCAAAAGGATAGTGGGCTCTTTTTCTTTTAAATTTATACATTTATAAAATGTTAGCTTGTTCCAAAAGTGTCCAGATCGCACACTGAGAGGGGCAGTTCTTTAACGTTGCTTTAGAAAGTAACATTTGATCGTATAGCATAGAGATTTGAAGTGATGCTGTGGTGACTTTTAGAGTACCACATGAGGTTTCCCCATGTACAGTATCAGCCTTGATTGATTTATTTCTTAAACACTAGGGTGGGGTTTATGTCCTTTGACAGTTCTTTCAGTTGGTCTGAACAGTTCTATGTTGGTTACCAGTCGGGGAACATTTTTGACCACTTCTAGATCACAGCAGGTTGTCCATTCTTGCAGAACAATGTCTGGACTATCAGGGGGCTCCAGTATCCTGAGGCTCAGACTGACGTGACCCCTAGGGACAATGGAGCTGGCTGGGATTCCTTTCCACTGCTCTGCTCCTACAGGTGTCTCCTCACAGGCTTCTACTCTGTACATGATGTTTCTCTCTGTGTCTTTCAACACAGTCCTGTGCTACAGAGGAAAAACAAACAGGACTGCCCTGTCAGAGCAGCTCCTGACACCAGCCTGGCAAGTGGCACTGCAAGAGTGAGGAGTAACAGTCAGAGGAGCTGCTACAAATTTTCTTTATTAACACTACAACGTTAGTCCCTGTGGATTTGCGTACACTTTGCACATTGACAGGTGTTCCCTGCATCTGAAGGCCTGTTTGTGGGTGTGCAACTGGCTGTGCTCTCACAAGCTGGAGGAGAGCTGTCTGGGGGCCCGGGGTGTTGCCCTGCGTTTCTCTTACGCTCTGACCTGCTTTTTGATTCTTTCTGCCTAACGTCATATTATAGATTAATTTCATAAATTAGCAGTGTGATCTGGACACTGTATAGAACCATGAGAAACATGTAGTTTTGTTTAGTGTTTGGGATTGAGGGATTGAGTCCTTTCATAAAGCCAAGACTTTTGGTCTTATTTTTCTGGAACTTAAGGTGGTTGAAATCCCTTTTTTTAATGGTGAAAGAAGAATAAGAATAGAAACTGACATGCAATGGGTAATGATCTTTATGTAAAGATGTATATCCTTCCCTTTACAGTAAAGTTTGAACTGATTATAGGGTGTTGGTCTTAGAATATATATTTTAATGGTTTGCGTGGAAAGTTACAGGCCCTTATTTTTCCACTTGCAGCTTACTGGTCAGATTTTTCTTTCAGATGGAGCTGAATGAACAAGATATGCAGATAGAACTGAGTGGAACATTGAGCCAATGGCGTTTCATTTCTGTGGCATATAAGAATTTGAACTTCATTCAAGTAATTCAGAACAAAAGTAGAGGGGGATATCATGGTTGGGGGAAAATACTGCTCTCGCTGCTTTGTGAAATGATTCGCCATGAACGTAAAAGTGGTGCAAAAGTTTAATGGGTAAAAGAAACTACAAAAAATTACTAAAAACTGGAAACACTGGTTACGTTGTTCATAAGGCTTATTAATAGAGAAGGACTCTCATGTGAGTGCAAATCAAAAACAAAAGTCAAAAAGAATAATGCCTGCTTATTTCCCCTCCTGTGGAGGGGCAAGAGTTTGCTTTGTGTTGTGTAAGTTGATGTGATTGGGATTCCTGTCCTGATATTTGAAGGCCGCAGTGATATCAGGGTGATGTCAGTCTGTGTTCCGCCTGTGAGGTACCGCAGTCCTTGTGTCGTGCGTCAGAAGATGAGTGCTTGATCCTCATTCTCTCCGAGCAGCACAGGAGTCGCCGCTGTGAGCCAAGATGCAAAGAATCAATTGCAGATTTTAAACTGAACAGATATGAAATGGGAAAAAAAAAATCCTGAAACAGCTGCTGTACTAATGATTACAGAGTGTGCTGCAAAAAGAATAATTTGTAGAGTTTCAAATCAACAGCTGTCATTTCACTTTGAAATAAGGGCATTTATTATACAGGAGTGGGAATCTTCTGTCAGAATACAATCTTTTCAGCTGGTGAATTGTCCGTTACTAAAACAGCAGGTGACTTGCTAGTCACTAAGTAGCTCTAATGTCTATATGTTCAAGAACAAAGTGTTTAAAGCCATACAGTTTTCACTCACTAATTTTTCAGTTGTACATTTTTGAGCCATTTTAATTAATATAACAATTACTTGAATTTTTAATGTTTTTTTTTTTTCTAATCCTGAAACCATTGAAGTCCGGTAGTATAAAGTGGCATCTTGGTGCTATGAATACTACACAAAATAAAATCCATTGCACTGAAGAAGTTACAGGTGGAAGCAACTGTTTATTGAATAGAGTATTCCATGGATCTCTGTGGTTCCTGTTTTAGCTGCTGTGATAGGTATAGTTTTGTGCAAAGTAACAGTGTGAACAGTTTTGATGTCTGCCTATTTGCAATATGATGTATCAGGTTATACACCATCTAAATATCGTACCAGTTTGCCTATATGATGTACCATAGAAAATGCTGTATACTGTTATTAATCTTGAATGTAATCTGAGTCAGTCTGAATTTTGAAAGAAGAGTGAGGTCTGGAAAAGATTTGCGTGCTTTCTCCTGGACGTACCCCAGTAACAGTCTGGTTTCCACACTATTTCACACAACCGCCACTGATTTCCCCTGCCCTGCTTGTGCTGTGTGCTCTCTGAGCCGAGATGGAGATTTACAGGAGCATTAGTTGTTTTTATTTGTAAATTCAAGCAGCTATTTATCAGCTAGGGAGGGAGTTGAGAGAATTTTGTTTTGACCAGAACTGACCAATATAAAATGATTTAAGGCCCCTAAATCGCAGCAGCAAAGTGCTCGTTTAATGTACCACAGTGTGCTGAAACTAATGCAATTCAGTGTTGTGACTGTTCTGATTTGGTCAAGGCTGCTCTGTTTAGTGCTTTTTCTTTTCTTTCGTGGCTTCTGTTTCTCAAGGCTGTATGTGAACCTTGAGTATAATGCCAAGGGTTGTAGGTTGCAGCAGCTTGTTTCTTTACATTTTTACATAGTCTGCTTAGTGACATGTACACACCGTGCCTGCCCTTCTCTCAGTGTTGAGGTATAAGACTCCCTTCTCCCCTTGCCCAAGCTCCTTTCTGCTAGCTGTGTTTTGCTGGAGGTTTTTCATATCCCAGCAGCCTTTGCTGTGCAAACTTAATAGGACACTTAAAAATAGCAATCCTTTATCTGCATGTGGAAAACGGTAAAAGGAACAATCGGCACTTGGGAATGTCACATTTCTGCCTTGTTCTATATTTGTGTTATTAAAATAGGACAGGAGCCTCAACTTTATATGTTTCTCTGCATTATACTTGTGGTACATGTCTGATGTCTCAAAAGTGCAAACTCTGCCAACTCATTAACAGAAACAGGTCTCCTGAAGGCAGGTGTGTGAGTCTGTTGTCCACTCTTCTTAAGAAACGTCAGACTGGCTCATTTAGTGAATTAAACACTAATTCTTTTTAGCCTAAGTACTTAAGAAAAAAGGTGATTTCTAGTACCGACATTGTGTACTGAAGTCTCTTCCGATACACATTTTTACAAGAAAAAAAATTCTGATGCCTGTAAATTATGGTCCAATTTAAGCCTGAATCTCTTTCAGTCACGCAGCCCATTGCATGCTGGTGATATAAGCTGAGCACCTTGCAAGTCCATGTTCTTTACCTGTGGCAAAACCCTATCTGACATCAAACTTCCTGTATAATCCAGCATCCAAAGCTCTTTCTGTTCTTGTCATCCTGCTGGCACAGTGTAATCAGGCTCAGAACGCTGAGTCTACCGTGTTGGACTGAAACATGAATTTAGCAAATCAGTGCAAACATTTTATAATGTTTTCAATAAAAAAATGCTGAATGACTCAAAAATGTGGTCTTTGTAAATATTCCAGTAACACAACCAAAAGCAACCTGTGTTGTACATGGTTCCCTTACAGTTCTGCTGTGATCTGGGGACAGAAACCACAGTGCAGAGGACAGGTGAAACATAAGAATGGTTACAAATGAGAGGGGCCAGTTGGCCCCTTTGGCTTGTTTAATAGTAGCAAATTGAGCCGAAGATCTCATTCTGCCAGTCCTTAAAGCTCAGTTCTGAAGTTATAGTAATCTGCATGGAGCAGACGAGCAGAGATTTTTCAGTCAGCTCATCACATTTCAGCTAGTCTTACTTTACCTTGTTGTCCCAAGTGGGAAGTTTGCTTTATAGGCTGCTAAAAGACATAACACATTACACAATACGTTTAACACACCATTAACAAATAAGAAAAATACATGTATGATAAGAATGACAATCTATTTTACTTATATATTGTCAATCATCCAAACTGCGCAGGTTAATAGCTCTGGAAATAAAAGATTACTTTTGTCTTCCCAATCTGAATTTAAGATGGCAGGTGCAGACGGTTATTAAGACTACATATCAAATGCATTGAATCATTCATTCAGTTCTTTGAGCTTATGATCTCCCTTTGGTTTGTCAGAAAGGTAAATGTACTAGTCTCATGTCATATCTGGACTGAGTAATATGTCCGTACATCACAGCTACAGGTCCTGGTAATGAAATCCTGTCCATATCAATCAGCCACTTGGCAGGTTTTGGGGACTCAAAAATGCAAAATGCGCACTTTATAGAAATGTACTAATTAGCCTCTACCGTTGCCTCCAGAGGCAAGTTCAACATGTGATGTTCAAAACAAAAGAATTGCTTTGTTATTTAATCATTTGTGTCCTTTGAGTTTTTATATTTCTAATCTGCAGCACCAGTTACAATCACTAGAATAGGCCAGTGTTTAGTTATGAATATTCCTTAGGTTTTCCAATCCAATAAACTGGTAAATCCAATAAAACCATGATAACAGAAAATTTATCATTATAATAATTTCAGTCAGGAACTGCACCAAAAAAAAACTGTTGTTAGTAATTAAATGGGCTGTTAAATTGACTAACTTTGAATTAAAGTGAGACTGATGAACACAT